ATGTAACCTCTGTGTCTGTTTTTCCACATGTGAAAGGGAACAATAATGACAATTTCATAGTTTTCATTGTGACATTAATACAAGACAGTTCTGCAGAGTAAGCATGTAATATATGTTGACCGTCATTGTCATGAGTACTGGAGTTCCGGTGTGGCACTGTAGGATAAGCAATGGACTGGTAACTGAAAGGTCAGTGGTTCAAGCCCACTAACTGCTACTCAGAAACCTTATAGAGGGTTGCTATGAGTCAGAATTGACTCAACAGCACTTAACAAAAACAACAACCATGAGTAATAATAATAGTGGTGTTATCATTTAGGGGGCCATGTCTGGTGGCTATAGCTAGCTAGATTCTCCTTAAGAGATGCCTCATCTAAGGCCTTTTATTGAAGCCCATTCCCCTTCCAGGGTCAACTCACACAAGTGATTGATAGGTGTAGACATTTAGTCTTGCCACCTCGGTCCTACCTGGAACATATTTGAAGCTCAGCACCACTGTGGGGTTGACTGAGGTAGCTACTGAGTTTGCATTGCAGGTGGAGCTCACCTCTGCCCAAACCCTGCATCCTTTCTCCTTTCCACAGGAATTGATAGCAAGTGCACATCTTTAAAAACAAAAAAAACCCCATTAAACTCTGCACAGAGCAGGCTTTAGACACAATTTTAACAGTGGCTAGAAAGACAATTTTCTCCCTCAGAGGTTCCATCTCAAAAGCTAATATTTTTTGGCTATCAGAGTTTGCTCCACATGAGCCTTCCATGCATTGTTGGGTGTCTTAAAAGCCTTAGCAGCTAAGTAGTTCTCTTAGGAAGTTTATCATGTCTGCATTTTCCCAGGGAGCCTTGTTGTTGCTGTGGGTTAGGTGGCAGGCTGTTAACTGGAAGGTCCTCAGTTCTTACCCACCAGCCACTTCACGGGAGAAACATGAAGTTGTCAGCTCCTGTAAAGATTTACAGCTTCAGAAATCCTATATAGGTTCTCTGTTAGTTATAGGTGACTCAGTGGCAGTAGGTTTGCAGTGGTTTTGGTACATTTTTCTTTGGTTTTCCTTATTCACTGTCCAGCTTTCACATGCATATGAGGTTATTGAAAATACCATGGTTTGTGTCAGGCCCACCTTAGTCCTCAAGCTGACATCTTTGCTCTTCAAAACTTTAAAAAGGTCTTGTGCAGCATATTTGCCTAATGCAATACGTTGTTTGATTTCTTGACTGCTGCTTCCGTGAGTGTTGATAGTTGATCCAAGAAGAATGAAGTCCTTGACAAGTTCAATGTTTTTTCCTTTGATAAGAATGTTGTTTATTGCTCCAGTGGTGATGATTTTTGTTTTCTTTACATTGAGATGTAATCCATACTGAAGGCTGTGCTCTTTGAACATCATTAGTGAATGTTTTAAATCCTCTTCACATTCAGCAAGCAAGGTTGTATCACCTGCATATCACAGGTTGTTAATGTGTCTTCCTCCAATCTTGATGCCATGTTTTTCTTCTTAGAACCCAGCTTCTCGTATTACTTGCTCAGCATATAGGTTGAATAAGTATGGTGAAACAATTACAACCGTGTTGCACGCCTTCCTTAATTTTAAGCGATTCAGTGTTCCCATGTTCTGTTCAAACAACTGCCTCTTGGTCCAGGTACAGATCCCTCATGAGCACAATTAAGTGTTCTGGAATACTCATACTTCGCAATGTTGTCCATAGC